TTGCGCATAATGCAAGAAGGCGAAGCCTACAATATTTTCCTCAAACAAGAAAGGAAAGTACAGAAGCTCTAATCAAAGAATATTAACGCTATCAATAGCGTTAATATTTTTTCTTTGCTCTGACTTCAGATGAATTGATTACAATTGTACGTAGATATGATGAGAATACCCCAGACGGCCTTCAGAAGAATTTTTATTCAAATAGTATCTGCAGAATTGTAACTTGAATAAAATGTTGAAACTCAAATAAACCAGTATTTTTACACTGTCCATGAAATAATCTTCCTGAATGTCACTCGACCATGACAAATGGAGACCATTATTTCCTTTAATTCATCTCGAATAACTTGTATTTTGGAACAATTCAATTGGACCATATAAACATAAATAATCATAGAATAACTCCCTCGAGCTAAAGTTCTCGGGAGTTATTCAGATTATTAATGTTCATATGGTCTCATCAAATTGTCAAAATACAAGGTACTCTCGATTGAATTATGAAGAAAATAATAGTCGGCTATTTGTCATGGTCTCGGGATATTACCCACAATAATTCTCATTTTGGAGCAAGGAAAAAATGTGCTTTCATAGCTTTCATGAACAATACACCACTTTTCAGTTGTGTCTGGTCCATATACGTATTAATAAACAATACGGATCATAACAGGTACCAGGATGAAGCCAAAAATATTGTTCTAAAAAAAAAATTGTTCTATCCGTCATTCGGTTGCCCCCTTACGAGCAACCCTCAGAAGTCTTCGAGAGTCTTGTGCGAGCAAGGAATGACGGGGGCCTTACCTTTTAACGTGTGATCCCAAACACTTTCTTGGGCCATCAGAAAAATTTCTGCAGTCGACGGGACTCGAACCCACGACCGGCAAGCGAATGCGGATTAGAATATAGACACTCTGTCCGCACGGCTACCTGACCCTGGAAACAAATGAATATCCATAAGGATTTGGTGGCATGATACGCATGCGCCATGTGCTATTATAGTAGTCATCAAAGACATGCGTCTCGGTGGACAATGACGTTTACTAGCCTTTCAATCAAAGCAGTATGTGTCTGATCGTTTCAAAACTTTTCCTTATGGATAGTCATTTGTCTTCAAAAATCGGCTTCATGTCTCGCTATGGAAACAGATAGAGATTATCCGTATTGATTATTAATACGTATATGGTCTGGTCATTGTCGATTAGGAGCATAGACATTACACTTACTCTCAGAACAGTTATTCTCAGTGACAGTTGGTCATTCCATGGCGGAAATATAATGGGGTGTGCTACTCACGTCTCCAAAATTCTTTTTTTCTGCGCATAACTCTGTCAGTCTGAACTCACCATTATTGATGGCGATATCCGCAAGCTCGTCGCAAGTTACGTTTACAAAATAAATATGCACGCCTAATAAACATCTCAAGCACGCCAAAATATTATATTTCCGCCAGTGGAAAGCATGTACCTATAATATTATCCTGAGACAACCATCATTCTTTCTGTCAGTTGTTATGGAGAATTGCGTGATACATTGGATAATGAACGAAGCGACGTTGTGGAATGAATTAATAAATAATTAATGGGAATATCTGAAACAGTTCCTCTTTATTTATTACGATTGTGCGAAAGTTTGCTTGTGACATAAATTGGGACACCTGATATCGATTTTCGTGAATCCTCCATCAATTCTGGGAAGCATGCATGTTCTTCATTCGTCATAAGGAGTTGGCTGAACAGGCTGAACCAACCCTTGGACTCAACCTTTGGTGACTTATCTGTTTTTTCCTTTATCACGATTTGTTCAGTCATTACTGTAAGCAACCTTCTTCTTCTCATCTAGATAGATCACCGAATTTCCTGATTCAAATTTGAAATCTTCTTTCGAAAAGATATGAGCATCTTTCCAGTACTACAGTCACATCAGTCACATCAGAATAGAAATTCCTGGCAAATTATATACACTTCTCCAAGAAATTAACGTACCATCAAAAAGTAGCCAAAACGTTAGGAAATATTTTCGTCAAAAGTACTGGTCCGATTTGGATATTTTCTGTTTTCAATGACATTTTATTTCCTTCTGAAAATTATAGTGCAAACTGTATTCTCATAAAAACCTGTTTTATATATCGGGTGGTCACAAAAAAACCGGAAGTTTTTATTTTCCTCGTGGTTTCATCATTTCTCAACCGAATTGCTTGGCGTCATTTCATAGCTAAAAGGCTATAGTATACAATGGAATATTTCAAAATTTCATAATGAACAAAAACATAACAAAATTTCATAATGAACAAAAACAAAATGGCAGATTTTTCCCAACCTGTACCGATGTCATCTTAGGCTATTCATTTCTGAAGAGAATGCGTACTCGAACATCGAAATCGAACAAATAGTCCAGTATACACTCATTTCTTTGCAATTTGTTATGGAGTGAATGTGCTAATCTCGTATAAACGATTATTATTATTTTGCTTCGGACTTCATGAAAATTCAATTGAATTTGGATTTCTTAGAGTTATTTCAAAGATAAAGATCTGTAGTACACAATGGAACATTTGAAAATCCAATAATTGAAAGAAACAAAATGGTGGAGTATCCAGAATTTTTGTGATTTTCAAAAATCTCTGGCGAATAAAAAAATGTTTATTCTTCCAATCAGGACCGATACAATTTCAGATCATAGATTTCTAAAAAGAATGAGCACTCGAACATCTGAATCGAACAATTATTCCAGGAGAAACACGTTCTTTTTGGCAAAGTGTTATGGAGTGAATGTGCCAATCTCGTGATAAGAATTACTTTTAGTTTGCTTCGGGCTTTATCAGAATTCAATCGAATTAGTAAACAAGAGGTTCTTATGCGGATACAGTTCACACCAATGTTCAGAAGGAAATAACCTGCCATTCATAATAAAAATCGTCTAAAGGTATGTTCATGCTTGAACAAATTCCGCAAAATTCATGCGAATAAAATAGCGGCTGAAAATATCGCAATGAAGTTGAAATATTCGAGCTTTTTTTACGAATTCGGGCGGAATCATAACCACACAATATGCCTAAAATGTATTGTGTTATTTTGATAACCTAGAGGCCGAAAAAAGACTAGACTAGACACCAGACTACAAGTACACAATTAGAAATATAAAATTCATCATTTCTTCATCTGATTGAATTTCTCCCTCAGAATGGATGCTCTGGATCATTCGTATCGTCTCCATAGATCTTAATGACACCAACAAGGGGTTGTAGTGATCGAAGCATCCATAAATGCCGCGAAATTCATGGACATTATTACATCCTCGTTCCAGAAATGCGGCTAAAATGACCCTAATCCCTAATAAATGTTTCAATTACTTTCGAGTAACGAGCCGTCAATTTGATGAACTTCTATCAATGGTGGGACTAGAAATAAATAAATTATATATGACAACAGTAAGGGTTCTGAGAATTCTGGTACATGACTATGAACGACAAATTTGGTTGAAAATTTCATATTCTGCGATTCGCATAAATGTTGAACATACCTTGAATCGAAAAAGTAGTAGTGCATCAATTTCTTGAAGAAGTGTAGATAGAGTCACCAGAAAATAGTTGATAGGCCAAGGTATCACCTACGATACGTATTCTATCTACTCTAGAATGTGAATTACCAAATTAGCGTGAAACATATTTCTGAGTTTCATCATTACATCGACGATAAAAATGTTTGAGCCGATGTATCATGATACTCTGAACTGAAGAGTTTAAACCGTAACCACTGAGGTAGAGTCTACATACTCCAATTATCAAATGGGGTTAATTGAAGTATGCAAATTGCAATCTAAGTTCTGCTCTAGTAGTATTAATGTTTTTGGAAGTACTCAACACCAATTCAAACAAAAAAAAAACATCTTCAACGTTTAATGATGGAATTTATTCACATTATTTTCAGTCAATTTCTGACCTTGAAACGAAAACATGAATTTTATATCAGCGTGAGTATGGTAATTAGCATTGAAAAAAGTGAAAACGTAAAAAACAAGAGAAGAAATCTGACGAAAAAATACGCAGGGGGTTCTTCCTCCCTTAGTTCGACACAGGTTGCACAAAATTTTCTGGAACATCCAAAACGAATTGGCTTCCTGCAGTGAGTGCATACATTTTCTATCATCCTGTGTGCCCTGGATGGACAGAGGCGGCAGTACCGTTTATAATTTAAGGCAATTTTTCCATCAGAATGAGAATGGACAGTTTCACTTAGTTAGATCACTGCCAAACTACCAAGCCTACCAATTTCAAGTTCAGCGAAGTCATTGTCAAGGAGATAGATTGTTTTTCGGGAAGTCCTGGGCTTCAGATTGATTTCTATTCAGTTTGTATCCAATGAAATCCAATATTAGTGGGAAGTGAAGATAATGAAAAAGATACGTCCTCACTGAGGTGGAGTTGGGTAGCATTATTCGAGAGAACATTTTGTTTCTTCGAAACTATGCGGGATAGGAATTTTCACAAGAGCAATAAAATCATGGTAGTTGATTAGTCTTCAAGGTCAAAAAATTTCAGAACCGTACCCCTAAAGAAGTTCTGAAAAAAATTTCAGGGGATGAGGGTGGTTTTAACCTTTCTACAATCTCTTTCAGATTTTTCCGATCACCAAAAGGAAAGTAATCCTCTGAAATACACTATTGCCAAATTTCATCAAATTCGTTGCACTTGTTTCTGAACAGCGTACAAAAATTTGTTTATTTATGTGAACTTTGAACCCTTCTCACGGACAAACGGTACATTTTGGCACATAAATAAATTGGGTCCAATCAACTTATTTTGACCTCTTCTATACGTGGTAGGTCTTTGTTCCAGCAATTTTGGGACACCTTGTATAAGGAATTTGGAAGGAATAAAGATTATGATGGAGTTGAAGTTAGTGACTAACTTTGCAGTATCGGTATCGCTGTTTTCTACAGTTTCTCTTCTTTCAGAGCGATCTTCCAGAGCTAATCTGGTATGCAGTGGCGGAAATTGGCCCGCTCGAAGATCACATCCGGTCGGTCACGGACGCGCAACATGCTCTGCTGTGGCCGCAGAAAGGTGAGTTTCTTTCTAATGCATAAAACTACTAATTTCTTGACAGGATTATTGTAATATGATTTACCCAGAGGGGCTGTTTTAGACATCAACTGAGGGGGTGGGGAGGAGGCGAAAAAAACAACAACAGCATTTTAGACGCGCGCGGAATATAAAAGCGTGGCAACAATTTGACCTGTTTTTTTTACAACAATCCATCACATAAAAAAAGGATTTGTAGCATCAACAAATTATTTATGCTTAAATTATTTTTGTTGGACTAAGCAATTTTTTGTTGAATCAACCAAATACATGATTATTTTCTGGAAGCAGCTTGTTCAAATCAAGAATGTAGTCTAATTGAATCAACAGTATAATATCAATTCCATTAACAAAATATATGGTTTCATCAAAAGCAATTTATGTTGATCCAAAATAATGTCGATGTTGATTCAACTATAAACATTTTGTTGATTTGATCAAATAATGATCATTTTGATGGGAATATATCTTTGAAACAACATTCAAATTTTCTTATTCCGATGTAGCAATGAACTTGTTTCGAACGAATCATTTGCTTGAATAGAGCAACGAAATATGTAATATCAATGAAATATTTTGTTCATTCTACATCAACTCGAATTTCTGCCTCTAGATGGCGATCATTTCGCCTCGTCTATGCCTGCCTCGAATTCATTATATACGTGAAGCCTGATTCTTCGTGTTTGGAATTTCAGCTGGATGAATCGATCTTAGGATGATTATAGCAATCCGAAATAGTTTTCCATCAGCTGAGGAGAAGTAAAGACTGAAGATCTATGCTAGAAGTCGACTTGTTTCCTATTTTTCCTTATTCTATTGATGTGGAATTTCAGAAAAATCCCGAATATTGAATTTGGTTCAACAAAACAATTTGTCGAATGGATATATAGTTCCTCTTGAATCAACAAAATATTTCATTGAATTAACCAAATATTTCATTGAATCAAACAACTATTTCATTGAATCAACCAAATATTTCTTTGAATCAACCAAATATTTGATTGAATCAATATCTTGTTATTTTGAATCAAACAAAATGATTGTTTGAACCAATTCAATAACTCTTCATAAACAATTCATGGATGTGCTTGATTGAAGATCATCCAGAGTTCATGCAAGACATATTTACTTGATTCAAACTCCAAATTCGCTCTGAAACAAGATATAGATTTACTCATTTCAAGATTATATTTTGTCGTGCATATATGACACTTTCATTCGCTCCATTCAATCAAATTTTGCTTGGTTCAACAATTTCTTTTTTTCCGTGGCAGGGGTAGATCCACAGGGTGTCCCGAAATTAGCCTGCCAAACTTCACCAGCGGCTTTTACGACCAAGAACAAAAAGAAAACTGTCAATGAACATGAGACGAGATATGTCTCCTGAGGAAGCTACGGCCCCCTGAAAGAGGGCTCCTGAAGATGATGTTTCTTGAGTATTTCCGAAACTAAACTTTCCATGCCCAATGCAGTGACAATAAAATAGTTTCAAATTTTCAATCAGGAGTGTATAATACAGGGTGAGACTACATTAAATTTTGTTCAAAATGTTTTGTATGTCTATTGTCCGACAATTTAATATCGGATCATGCAGTTTCACACCTCTTCACAGAAATAAGGTAATGCATAACATTGCAATGAGGCCTTGTGGAAATGGAAAAAAATGAACAAGAATTGAATTTGAATTTTCTCCATTTGAAAATTGGCAACGTTATGCATAAGATGTGAGTGCATCAATATTTTTAAATCGATTTCACTCGAAAATGATACATCTGATCGATGCGGAACAGGTGCACCTTTCCTGGTGAAACGGTGCGGATTTTCATGATCTGAGATTGAATTGTCAAAGAACATGCATACGAAAAAGTTTGAGTAATATTTGATGTAGTCCCACCCTGTATTATGTATTATAAACTCCTGAATGAGACTCTGGCATGATTTTATGTTCAACGCATTTGGCATGGAAAATTCAGTTCATGTATCAAATTGCATCATTTTAGCACGTGGCGTTTCGGAAACAACATTCGAAAAATATCATCTTCAGGAGCACCTCTTCAGGAAGTCGTAGCTCCCTTAGGAGACATTTCTCGAATCATGTTCATTGAAACTTTTCATCCTATTTTTGGTGGAAAAAGCCGCTGGTGAAGTTTGGCAGGCTAATTTCGGGACACCCTGTATATGAGGGCTTTTTTCGTCGACCTCTACCAAAAAATCACACTTCACGTTCTAATTTCCGAACGAAAAACCTGCTATTACCGAAGGCTACCGAAAAAACATTCAACACTCAAATTAGTACGGAAAAAATAATTTTGGTTTTTTTCTGCACGCTAGTAAAAAAATTGTGTATACCTAACACGTGCGTCAAGTGACTTTTCCGCACTTGCTGTGTAAACTACTATATATCATGAAAATTTTTAACCCGTACTACCTGAAAGGAAAATCACCGACATAAATTACTAACTAGACCGCTAAGGCCATAAGATCAGAATTCATTCATTTGCGAAATCGAACTTGGTCCAGGACCTGACTCGATATCATGAATGACAGTTAGGGGATTCCTACGCATTGAGCGGAGGCGTTTTTAGTTTTCAAGCGAGCAATTTGAATAAGATTCTCGGGTTTATGGAATATGACATATTATACTAACATTCGTTGAGGATATAGTGCCTCGAATATCTCATTTCACGCCCTATAAAGAGTGTGGCCACGCTTGTCATGTTGATGTTGTTGAATAGCTGAATAAAAACATGAGACACACACATGTCTTATTAGAGATGGAATATCATTTTCTGTACTCCTTCATTGAACGAGTGCGGAAAACCTCACAGTGCCGTAACACTAAAGGCACATTATGCTCTTTTTGTAGTTTCACATCATTGGATGTATTTTCATGAAATGAATATTCAAATTCAAAGCTTGAACAAACACTTGAAATGTCTTCTCTTCTTTTGGCAACTCAAATAAATGGTAACCATCATTCTCAGAATTTTTGCAATTCGTTACCAAACAAGACATATTCAAAAACAATTCCGCGAGGACGCCTTTTGTTGTCAGAACTGAGAATGATGATAATTCCCCTCAGGGACTCAAGACTTGTGAGTATGAGAATGGCAATCTCGAAGTACCCTAGCCGGATACTCATTAATCTTCAACTTGTCACTCTTTAGTTTTCAAACTTTCTTATCGGCCTCTCTTGGTCAATTCTTCTTTTTTCCTTCGCTCCTAAAGCCTAACGCCCATAGTGCGGGGTGGACAAGCCGCGTCTGCTCGGCAGATTGAGCATTATGGGAACAAGAATTCACTCCAGAAATGATACTCGCTAAAATGAACTCTTTAGATGTTAACGGGAGCCGGAATAGACGGCTATCCCTCATATTTTGTTAGATACTGTGCTCCCAGTTTATGCTTTCCACTCTGTGTTATTTTCAACAAATCCATGCAGTCTGGTACCTTCCCAGATGCCTGGAATGGAAAACTGCTCTTCTGCTTCCAATATACAAAAATTCCGGCAATAGAAACTCAGTGAATAATTATCGCGGTATCTCCAAATTATCCATATTCAGCAAATTATTTGAAAGCTTAATTTATGACATTATGTTTCATAGTCTTAAATCATCGATTTCAGAATGCCAACACGGATTTTTCTCCAAACGAGGGATTGAAACAAACTTGGTTATACAGGGTGTTAACAAATAAGTGTCACAACGAAAAACTGTAGATTCCTCATAATAAAAGAAACATTTCTTTCCTCTTCAAAATTTCTCTCCAGGCTTCCGTTTTCAAGATACAGGGCGTCAAAAAATAAAAAATGTTCAGTTTAATTAAACACACTTAACAACACTTAATAAACTTGACAATTTGAAAACCAGCATATGCAAGAACCTAGCATTTGATTGAACATATTCTTAGACCGTTCTGAGGTGTTTATTTCCAGTGGATTTTCAGACGATTTTTGGAGATACCATCAGGATTTTGTAGCTTCATATCCATAAAGAGCCATTTTTCGCAGAAACTATTCACTTTAGAGCATTGAGACAAGAGGACGTTTTTGTGTGAAAGATATTGGCGCTTCAGAATCTACTTTGAAAATTACTATTTCTCCAGTGGCATAAATGTATGGGGGGTTAAACCCTCACGAGGCGTTGAATTCTCCTCCACTGACATGTCCAAGGAAATTGATCAATAGCCCTAGAAGTAGTGATAATTGATGATGAAGTGTGTACGAAGGCTTAACTCCGTAGCTCAAACGGTTCCTAAGATAGTAGCAAAAAACAGATTGTTTTGTATTATTTTGACGCCCTGTATCTTGAAAACGGAAGCCCGGAGAAAAATTTCGAGAGGGAAAAAAATGTTTCTTTCATCATGAGTAATCTACAGTTTTCCGTTGTGACACTTATTTGTTAACACCCTGTATATTCTGAATACATCTCGAATGCCTTAGACAATCAAGCGCAGGTTGATTCACTGTATACTGATTTCAGCAAAGCGTTCGATAAAGTCGATCACAACCTCCTTATATCGAAACTTTCTGGAATTGGTATACAGGGAAATCTCCTGAGATGGCTCTCGTCATATCTTTATAATCGAAGTCAACTTGTGAACATAAATGGATATAGGTCTGCCTCTTTCGTGGTAACTTCAGGAGTCCCTCAGGGCTCACATCTGGGTCCTTTACTATTTTCAGTGTTTATTAATGATCTGAACAGCTGTTTCAAAAATTCACAGATACTGTTATATGCTAACGATTTGAAGATATTCAGAAAAGTGCTGACAATTAGGGACTGCTCAAAAATTCAAGAAGATCTAAATAGGTTCACTGAATATTGTAACCGTAACAAAATGAAACTCAATGTCAGCGAATGTGCGAGTATATCTTTCAGTAAAAACATTGTCCCTATAGAATTCCAATATCTACTGAATGATAGTATAGTCAAAAGAACGGACCGAATCAAGGATCTTGGTGTATACTTCGATACAAAAAT